TTCATTCACTGTGTAAACAATTTTGACTTTAAAAAAAAAAAAAATGCTGTGAAAGGTCTCATCCCACAAGCAGTGAGTGTTTTTGAAGATTTGTTAGCCAAAATACCATTGCTGGAAACAGTTTGCATTGAAGCTGTTGTTTGAAAAAGGAAACTTACAATTTACCAATGTTTTAGCATGGAAAAAATTTGCACATCAACACAAATTAAGACCACAAAGCAGGTAAAGTTACTCCTTTATAAAAGTTGATAGCATGGTTCATTGTAATATAGACTTACACATTTTTTAACTTCAGTGTGTAGCTGGAAACTGAGCGACTTAGATCCAGCAAGTGTTCCAATTGATAATATGCAATTACCGGTATGTGATTGAAATTAGTGAACTTTTTCTTATCCCCGAGATCTGATGGGTCCATTTTAGTATCAACCAGCCCTTTAAAACATCTTGGGCTGGAAATATATGTAAGTGGTAACCTGACAGGCTTAAGCCTCAGCACCACAAAAGAACATTTTAAGGCCACAGACATAATCAAGACTCACATAGCCTCAGCTGAGCTTTGGAGAAAGCAGGACTGTTAAGACAAGGAAGATAATTTTTATTTCTTGTGGGACCAAGGGCTATTTCTTAGAGGCATGTGAATGTACTCGCTCAGTACCCTTTCCCATGTAAACATGAACTGCAAAGCTTGATACTTGACCCTTACTGTATATTCAGATCTGGCATGCACCTTTCAACATCTCCATAAAAAGAACACATTTTGAACAAAAGCCCCAGTTTTTTCTGCTCAAAGTGACAGTGTTAAATCTGTGACCTTCATTAGCTTTCTTTTGAAATTTTAAGCCATGCATTACCACCTGTTTTTTTCTTTTAAGACTGTATACTTTGAGGTACTTTTTCTTCTCAGTAATCATCTGGTTATAAATAAATGGATGGAAGAATTATATCCTAGTGATCGTTGGGTGGTCTGTTGCTTACCAGATTCTTAGTGACAACAAATTGAAGGATAATGACTCCTGTCAGGAAGAAGAGAAACCTAAGAAAGTCATGAACTTTGCTGAGTCAAATATAAGATGGCCTTTTCTGGAAAAAGCTATGCTTGTTTCATGGGAGTAAAAAACGGTCAACGCCTTTGCTTTTTCTAACTTCATGCTATTTCCTAGTTTCACAACAACAGCTTAACACAGTAATAGCTGCTTGTTCAATAAGTTTATTGTCTTTATGAAAAAAAATCTTCATAGAAAATTGCTTTAGCTCTCAGCAGCCCGTTCCTGAGCTCTGAGGAAGCTTGCCTTCTTTTGAGCTACCCGATCTTTCTTCTGGGCAAGGGACATTTTGGGACGGTTCCACCTACAAAAACAAAAGGAAAAGTCAGGAAGACAGGAATTTACCTTTCAACTGAAAAATGACAGTTTTGGAACTCATCTTTTTTTTAGAGACAGTTTTGCTACATATTCCTGGACTTGAACTCTTGGGAGTCTTCTGCCTCAGCCTCTTTGAGTGCTGAGATTACAAACCATGTGCCACCACATCCTGTTCAAGTTCTAATACACATACTTACTACAATGGCTAGATCCTCATTATTCTCATTCCATTCAAAAAAAAAAAAAATCAAAATTTGAAGCAGTGAAAAGGTATGTCTCAGCTGGGCATGGCCACTCATACCAGTGAGCCCGATACTCGGGATCAGAGTGGAGGCAGGATGTCATAGGTTCAGAAGCAGCCCTGGCTATATAGGAGTCCTGGGGCCAATCTAGGGTAAGTCTCTTCTACAGGTAGCCAGTAAAAAAAAGCACAGAACTGTACTAGGGATAGAATGAGCCTCCTCAGGACCGTCGGAGGCTGGTAATTCCTATCACTACAATTACTTTAGCAAACCTGGTTCCCTTAGCTGCTGCCACATCACGCAGAGCTAGTGATCGAGTCTGCACAACTCCCCACAGAATCTGACCCACAAGATAAAGTGAGGCAGTACAGCAAACACTCCCAGCTTCTTCCTCGTAAAAGGACAACAGTAAGACACATACCTTTTCTTCTTAACTTCTCTCTTAGGCTTCTTCTCGTAGACTGGGTTCTCTCGTATAGCAGCATGGGCTTTCTTATACATCTCCTCCATCTGAAACAAAGCAAAGCAAACAGTACTTGGCTTCATCTCATATGCCCTACAATGCTAATTTGTCCTAAAACTCAGTTCTCAAAAGGAACTAAATTAAACCAATGTTATCCCTTAAATTCCAAAATGTAACTCAGCTTTTCCTGAAAAATTCCCAATGCTTACTTTACTCGATCTGAACTGACACTACTCACAAGACTCAACAGGTGAAAACCACACCTGCATTCCTAAGGAAGGCAGCCATGTCTAAAGCCATGTCACTCCACAACAAACTTATTTTTGCAGAACCACATTGCATTTCACATTCTAAATACTGCTTGACCTAAATTCTTTCAAGCAAGGGCACATGCCAAAACCAAAGTATTTAAAATGCAAAATATATGGAGGCAAAAAATCCACAACACTGACAGGTTTGTTGGGAATAAGAGCAACTAACAAATGCTTTTGTCACCCCATATTCCCCCTTTACCCCATATGTCTTTCAAAGCAATACCCAGTATAATATACCAGGGACTTACTAAAAAATGATTTGGGTCTCTAAAATGAGTAATATGGAAAAATGTGATCAGTTATGTGCATCTTCATATAAAGTTCAATAGAGGAAAACAATGCAGAAATGTTCCCTGCATTTAGCCCACTCCCCACTTGAAATAAACCTGTGCATGAAATGCCCTAGCAAGCCAGAGAAGGGCAGCAGATCCTCTGAAACTGGAGTTATGGACAGTTATCATGTGGGTTCTGGGAACCAAACCCAGATCCTCTTCAAGAGTTACTCTGAGCAATTTCTCTGGTTAGCTAGCCTCAAACTCTAAATCCTGCTTCAGTCTCTCAAGTGCTGAGATTATGGGCATACCTTAAACCCCAGGTGGGCATGGTGGCACAGGCCTGTAATCCCAGTACTCAGAGGACAGAGCATTCAGGGGGAACTTACCATGCCGAGATCCTATCTTGGAAAAAAAATTTTCCTCCTTCAGCGTTCTATTACAGCTGTATGTATTTAGTTATGTCCATTTGATAAATACAAAGAGTCAAACTTAAGCAACTTAGCTTCCTTCCAAGATGTTGGAGAATATAGATATACATATGTAAACAAGGTCATGAATGTGACTTAAAAAAACCAGATATTGGCAGAGGGCTTTAGCATGTAGGTACTCTGAAACAATTAGCCAGGTGTGGTGGTGCACACCTTTAATCCCAGCACAAGATCTCTGTGAGCTTGAGGCCAGCCTGGTCTACATAGTCAATTACAGGCCAGCTAGGGTCAGAGAGAGATCCCGTCTCAAAAAACAACAAAAAATAAAGAACTTCCAAGTGTAGCCTGCCAAGGTGACCCGTATCTGTTGCAATCCCAATATTTGGGAGGCAGAGGTAGGAGGTATTGCCACAAATTCAAGACCAACCTGGTTTACATGATCAAGTTCCAGGCTAGCTAGGGCTATACAGCAAAACTGATTCAAACAACTCAATTTTAAAAACTTCAAAGGGTGTGTAGGTTATACGTGTTATCTTAGGAGAATAAGTGGTATTACTTTACCGAAAACGGCAAAATCAAAGTGATAGCTGTTTTAGTCCATTACACCTATTTAAGTATGCATGTTCCGGTGTCTTCAGGCAGTCCAGGAAGGCTTCACACTCCATGTAGCTGAAGATGACTTTTAACTGCTGATCCTGCCTCCAACTCCCAAGTGCTGCTCAGGCCTAGTTATGCAGTACTGGAGATCAAACCCAGGGCCTTGTTTGTTTTTTGGTCTTTTTAAAGACAGGGTCTTCTTGTAACCCCAGCTGGCCCAGAACTCCCTATGTAGACCAGGCAGGCCTTGAACTCACAGAGATCCACCTGCCTCTGCCTCCCAAGTGCTGGGATTAAAGGTGTGCACCACCAAGCCAGGCAAACCCAGGCCCTTGTACAGGCCAGGCAAACTGAGCTGTGTCTCTAGCCCCTACCTATTTTTAGACAAAAAATTGATATTTATGCTATTATTTTCCTAAATGAGTTTTAAAATATAGACTATGAAAGAGTAATAGTTTAGCCAATTTGGCATTCAAACTTTTGTTCAAATTGTTCAAGATAAAGAGAAAAATATTGGTTTATACCTGATCCTTTCTATATCATACTTATGATGATTAATTTTATTGTAAAAGCTCTCTAGTACATTTTATTGTCTTTTTGATGATCTTACATTTTTAAAGTCAAATTTCCTAATTTTGATTGTATTTACATCCCTTCCCCTGTCTGCACCTACCCATGCCCGATTTCAGTACTCTATTTTGTGTGGGCATATATACATAGGTACATATATACATAGACACATTTTTAAAAGGCTTTTGGTAGACTGGAAGAGAAAAACTTAAACCTAATCCTTCCTATACTTTTTTTTTGGAGACAGGGTCTCCCTGTAGCCCCAGGCTGGCCTGCGTCTTGAGATAGATCAGCCTACCTCTGCCTCCTGAGAGCAGAGATTAAAAGGTGTGTACCACTGCTCAGATCTACATTATACTTTTAAAAAAGGTACATTAGCCAAGAGCAATGTGACTTAAGTATAGCATAAACACAGAAATGCATTAAGAAACAATTATCCCAGGGCTGGAGAGATAGCTCAGCTCTTACAAAGGACCCAGGTTCAATTCCTAGAACTTTCATGTCAGCTAACAACTGCCTGTAAGTCCAGTTCCAGGGAATTCAACCTCCTCTTCTGACTTCTAAGGACATCACATACACATAAAATAGAAATAAATGAACACTTTTTTTTTGGTCTTTTTGAGAAAGGGTCTTCCTGTAGCCCTAGCTGGCCTCAACTCAGAGATCTGCCTGCCTCTACCTCCCAAGTGCTGGGATTAAAGGTATGTACCACCATGCCCGGAAAGTGAACATTTTTTAATTTAAAAAGATCAGGTCGTGGCTCAGGCAAATGTGCTCTACAGTTCAGAGGAATCAGTCTAGAAGTAAAACCACTCTTCATTCTTTTCCTATCTTAGAAGCTCAAGTTGTTTATTTAGTCTGAGAGTGTACCCAAAGAATACAAACCACAGAAAACCATCTTTTTTTCCCCCAAACACATACTTCACAGTCCTAAGAGCTTTGTAACAATGCCATTTCTGTTCTACAATCTTACAATTCCAGAACTGGTACTGTCTTTAATTATTCCAGTGGCTTAACAAAAATAGTCCCAGAGATTCAAGTTTAGGGCTGATAAATTTCCAGTTAAGCACACTTTTGCAAACCCAACGCCAGAATGTAACATATTTGCTGTAAAAAAATTTTCTTCCCATGCTTTCTCAAAATCCTATCAGGCTTGCCCAGCCAACACTTTCTCAGCAGCCCAAGCACAGGTGGTCAATATCAGTTTAGGAAACTTCCTTAATCATTACTATTTTTCATTCCACTCAAAAATCCAAATGTCAGTCTCAGCTGGTCATGGCACTCACACCGATAAGCCCAATACTCAGGATTAGAGGTGGAGGCCGGATGTCATGGGTTCAGAGGCAGCTCTGGCTATCTACATGAGTCCTGGGGCCAGTCTCAAAAACAGCAAGTCTCTTCTTTAAGTACTCAAACAAAAAAATACAGGACTGTACTAGGATAGAATAAGCCACCTCCTGAGGACCGTTGGAGGCTGGTAATTCCTATCACCACAATTACTTTAGCAAACCTGGTTCCCTTAGCTGCTGCCACATCATGCAGAGCTAGTGATCGAGTTTGCACAACTCCCCTCAGAATCTGACCCACAAGATGAAGTGAGGCAGTACAGCAAACACTCCCACCTTTCATCAAGGGTTTTACATGCTTGAAGCCAGCCTCACACATCAATCAGCATCTAAAAACACATTGACAAAACCAGCTTGTTACTTATACCACCTCATCCGACCTGTCAATCTACTTCCATCCAGTACTCTAGATTCGCTTAAAGGCAGTATGAAGTCTATCCATACCTGTAGACACACCAATATTCAACTTTTAACTGTGTACCCAAAATAAACTTAGGTAAAACTATAACCCACCCAAACCAAGTAAACCTAGTTCTAGAAATGAACCAATACAAGCATGCTAAGGTAAATTTGTTACCATGTCTGGGGTTACGTTGTTCTTTATGTACTGAGAGAACTGTTTCTTGTATGCATCTTCATCTTCTTCCATCAGGTATCGCATGTAGTCTGCCACGTTCTGACCCATGATGTGCTTCCGATGGACTTCTGCATTGAACTCCTTGCTTTCAGAATCATAACCAGGGAATCGTTTGGTACTAAAATGAAGATGGTCATATTTTAGTGTATAGACTGAAATGACCTCACCTGCAGGAATTCAATTCGATGGCTGCCATCAGTCCCGTCTTGAAACAATTATTGCATCATATGCAATCACAGGACCAACTACTGACTGCTCAGTTAGTGGGATATCATCATTAGCAGCTCTGAATTCCAGAAGAGAAACACCACAAACACATTTGCTTTTTATCCTGATGGGGTCTCACTATGTTGCCCAGGCTGTCTCCAAGAGATCTTCCTGCCCTTTCTTGCACATCAACATATAAGAAACAGTTTTAAAACATCTCTCAAATTCTAATTCCTCAGTGGTACTTCAGGATGAGTCAGTGATTTGCCTAAGAAGCCCTTTAATGAGAAATGTATAATATAGACTAATTTTGACTGCAAATGATAAAACATGCAAAAACATTTAAGAAGCCCTAAAAGAACAAAAACACAAGTGCTAGGGCTGCAGCTCAATGAAGACTTGCCTTCTATGTGAAAGGACATAGCCTAGGTTCAGTCCTCAGTCACCCCACAAAACCCAATACTCACTCTCTGCATTTTTCCAAGGTAAAAATTCTAGTTTGGTTTTACTTTAAGCCTACAGAAAAGGAAGCCAGGCATGGTGGCTCATATCTTTAATCCAAGCACTCAGGAGGACAGAGGCAGGTGGGTCTCTGAGATCAGGGCCAGCCTAATCTACTTGGATGAGTTTTAGGCCAGCTGGGGCTACAGGGAGATGGTCTCAAAAAAAAAAAGGAAATCTACATCTACTATCGAAAAAGATTTGTCATTAACTTTAAATACCCCCAGAATTAATATATCAATACGCATCTACTCAGCAAAAACACATGAACCACATGAACTCCTGGAATTACAAATCAATCCACTTCATTTCCAAGGATATCTGGCAATTTTATATGACTTATTCAGTTTAGAAGTCTCAAGTCTTTGTCTTGAATTTTAAAATTATTACTGGAGAAAGAAAATGCACAGGGGAAGAATGATGAATGTTTATTTCTGACCAAAAAAGTGGTTTTCACCCAACTTTCCCACTTAACTCAAAAATTACAATGAACACTTTACTTAAAAGGTAAGCAGACATGGTGGGCTCCCACTTGTGTAATCCTAGCACTCAGGAGGCTGAGGCAGGATATTGCAAGTTCCAGGCTAACCTGGGCTACACAATGAGGCCTGGTTTCTTCGTTTCTAATACAGGTTACAAGTCCTTCCTGTGCTCTTAGGTTTCTTTTGTACCACAGAGCATTCAATGATAGCTACTTAATCCAGTAAGCTCCAAAGTCTAACCAGCTAGAAACAGCAAGTACTGGAGTAAAGGGATGAAATCCTGAGTGTTATTTATTACCTGTGAGGGATAGACAAGCCTCCATCCACAGCTCCCTTCAGGGCCCCAAAAACTTTATTGCCAGTTGTAGTGCGGGCAAGACCTGCATCCAGATAGCAAGTGAAGGCACCAGGCTGACCATCAATGCTTTCCACATTGTATTCATCTCCGGTCACCTCCACTTGGCCTTCATAGATCTTGTCCATGCCAAACCTATTGAGAAGCTATTAAGAAAGAAGCCAGCATAAATACCTGTTTCATTGTTTTGATATATTCAAACCATTCTAAATATAGTTCCTACCACAGCAATGTAATACTGAATTTGATCCTTATATTTACTCAAATGTTTCTTCAGTCTTTGACTATAGTAATTCAATTAAATACTAAATGTTATATATAGCTTTAATTTCATTTGAAATAGAATTTTAGGGGTAGGATCCTGAGTTCTTATCTCTAGCCACATTATTTTAATTTGGGCTGTTCCTGTGCTGGTCACCTTGTGGTTTTATCACAAGCAGTGCCTTCACCAAGCTGCTCTCAAATATGACAATGTTTCCAATACTCAAGTATTCTTACAACCTAGAAGAAACAGGTCAACAGTAATGTCAATTTGAAATGCTCAAGCCACAGGAGGCTAGAGACCACCCCATGCATAGATAGCAGGGCTCCCACCACTGCAGAACTCTACCTGACAGAGCTGGTCTAGATATAACCAGAAACAGGGCAAAAAATAGGAAGACAACTGCTTCCCTGGATTATCTAAAAATGCACTGCCCACTTCAAATTTTACATTTAGAAAACCATGTTCACTGCTGATAGCCTCATGTGCCACACAGAACCAGCTGCCATTCTCCTGAACTCATACCGCGATTACCCCAAAGGACATTGATTAAATTCATCATGTACATACCCTGCGGGCCAGCAGCAGGCCAGTGCAATAGGCTGCAGCATAATTTGTCAGGCCAACTTTCACACCGTATTTTGGTAGTTCATGTGCATATGCTGCGCAGACTATCATATCCCCTTCTATACGAGCATACGCAATCTATAGTAAGAAAAAACTCAGGTTAGTAACCTGTTGCTTTCAAAGCTCCAGTATCTAAGTGCCTTCCCCTAAAAAGGTGTGAGGGGAAAGGACCAATCAGTGGACTTGCATTTGTTTAACCCCACTCAACTACAACTAAAATTTATCACTTGGTCAATTACACAGCGGTTTAACAGCTGTGTATCTGATAAATTTAGGTGTTTGTAAATATGTTTAAAGCCATGGTGTGTAAGGCTAAGATAAGCACTGCATGTTAGGAGAGGACACAATGAATAAATTATACTGCAATCCTTCTAATACTGAACATACTTCTAAGATGAGTGAGCTGGTGAAACCAGAGGTACTTTGAAAAAATCAAGGAGGAAGCTGGGGGTACATGCCTGTCATCCTAGCCCTTGGGAAGCTGAGGCAGGATTATCATGAATTAAAGGCCACCCTGTGCTACACACAGTGAGTATCAGGTCTGCCATGACTATACTGCAAAATCCTGCCTAAAAAGAATACTCAATTATTTAAAATCACTTAAGCTAAGTCCAAGTTCAAGCATATTTTAGCCACTTTGTGTTTAGTTAGCTGAAGGTAGGTACTGCCTGTCTTTACAGTCAATACATCTGCACAACAAACAAGTGTGCCTACCTCCTAGTCAGCAAAGATCCCAAGTTGTCAAAGGCCTGAATACAGGAACTGCCACTTTCTAGAGTGTTTCAGTTAACAAGTAAGTAAACCCATGCGGTCACACAAGAGCCAGGACTTAGTGTAAGACAAGCTCTGCTTTGTGGGATAGATAAGAACCACCTACTTGTCTGTTCACACGCAGGATTTCCAAGACTCCTCCCAAATTTGATAGTGCAAATGTGATTAAACTGGGTCCAGATTTCCAACTATGGCTAAAAACACCAGTTTCCCAAGTCTCAACTCTAAGCCTAATAAAAGGAAGTCCTCTCTAGCAGTGAGTAAAGGGGTTGTGGGGTCTGGCCACCCACTTCTCCAGTATGTATGTAACTTACCTGACAGATGATGTCTCTGTTAGTTACACGAACTATCATCCTGTACTTGGGTGTGTTGTACTTATTTTTGTCTTGGATCACCAATCGTTTACGAGCATAGTAGTCAGTTTTACCCTCTGTAAGAAAAAACAATTAAGGAGGACATTCCTCTATGAAGCTGACTCAACACTAAAAGCAGGAAAAACTGCCCATACCTCGTCGTCTTCTAAATTTCACTTGGTATCTCTTAAAGTAGGCCTTATTCTTGACAACTTTCACAAACCCCTTTAAAGGAAAAAAAAAAAAAAGTATGTTATTACGACAATGTTTTAGCCAATGGTACTTTTTTTTTTTTGAGACAGGCTCTCCCTATGAGGCCCTTGCCCTAAACTGACCTAGAATTTGACATTTCTCAAGTGTTGTAGCGCTTAAACTCCAAGAGCAAATTTATACAACTGTCAACTTTTGTAGCATGTTCCTTAAAACCAACTGGAATCCAGAATCACCCAGTGGTTTTCTACTTTCCACCTAGGAGCTCATGGAACACAAGAAAAAGCATCAGAAAACATGGAAAGGCTGGCTAAGGTGAGCAAGGCCCTGGTCCAACCCATGGCCCTCTGAAAGCTGCAGGCTCCTACCTATTAATACTCAACAAGCACAAACGTATCTTCTCATTGTCTTTGGGTTCCTATACTCACCCACCAGTGTCAGTCAATCCCTGTGTCAATCTTTGGGGTAGTACTGCCCTACACTGCAGTCTACAGTGGCAAGTCAATCTGCCCTGAATGCTGCAAATTCCACCTCCGGAACCTCATCTCAGGTAACTACATCGCTCTCCCGGCCTCTGAGTCTTTTTAAAAATCCTACAATGCTTAACTAGGCCGAGCACACCCAGCAATTACTCCCTATTAAAACAGCACTGTCCCCCAGCTAAAGCAACTTCCTACCCCACCTTTGGTGAACCACCCCAACAGTCACTGAAAACTAGGCTAAAGTGACTGACTAGGAAGAGGCAAGAGTTGCAGAATTCCAAATGACACAAGCTTCCTTCCGGGACTCAGGAAGGCCCCGGACTCCAACCTCTGCTGACAATCCGGGTTTAAAGTCACTTCACCGGCACAGCGAAACAGGCTTCCAGGCCCAGCGAGATACGACTGCTACCTGGAAAACCTCAGAGCTGGCTGGGACCGGATGGGGGCCGGCCTGTGCCCCCGACGTCCCCCGCCCGCCTGGGCCAAATGCACGCAGCGTGCAGGGTCGCTGCAGCCCCGGTGGCTCCGGCCGGTCCTGCACGCTGTGTGCTGCGCCCCACGGACCCCGAGCCCAGCCAGGCTCCCTGCGCGTCCACCCCTCCCGCGCGGCAGCCATTAAGGCCACGCTGGGAGCCGCGACCGCACAGCCGCAGTGCCGGGAATCGAATGCCATCCGCGCCCCGCCACGCGCAAGACGGGCCCTGAGCTGGAGCCCGCGAGAGAAAAGGGTGTCCCCCGTGTACCCGCGGCCCTGGGGCCCAGATGCCCACTCACCATCCTGCGGAACAGAGATCCGCAACCGCGGCTCCACACAGACCTGCAGGCCCGGCAGCGCTACAGGGGGGAAAAGGCCGGAGTTGCTGCGCATGCGCAGTATGTAGCACCGCCGACTACGCGAGCGTAGGAAGGAAGCGTGAGGAAGAGAGCCGTGGGTATCCTCAAGGCGCACGGTCTGTTGTCCCCTGCTGGCCGGAGGCTGAATGTCAGTTTTTTTGGACTTAAAAACCCCCAAGTGGGATTGGCTGGGCTAAGTTGGCAGAACTGCCGGAGGCTTTTTCGCTAGGACGTTTTTAATGAGAAAAACCATGTATTACTTTTCCAAGCAGGAGGGGGGAAAATTAAATTAAAATGAATTTACGCAGAAGTCATGCCTTCTCCTGATTCTATTTCCTGGAATATTCATCCTGGTTCCCAGCATACAGGGGCCAGACCTGATTAGGGTTAGGGGAGATTCCTTTGCCTTCACCCAGCACCTTGGTCCCTGTTTCAACCCTGTGCGTAGTACTGGCCTCTGAGGTTGGGTCCTGCTGTCAGACGCTCCTTTCTACCTCCATCTGTGAGCTAGGAAGCTGAACTTATTTAAATCCTCTTCTGAAAAGCTTTCTTTCTAAACCTGGGGGTGTGCTGCAATCCAGTACTTTGGAGGTAGAAGCTGGAGGATCAGAGAAGTTCGAAGGATAGCCTGCACTGCCTGATACTCTGTCTCTAAATGCCCGGAGCTGGGCGGGGTAGGGGTGAGAGGGTAAGAAAGG